ATATTTGTTTCAAATAATAATCAAACTCCTTTGTATGGATTATAAATCCTTTAACAAATAAAATTAATATATATTTGTTTCAAATAAAATATTTCTCTGGATGTTTAGTGTTTAAAGAAAAAAATATAAAATACTACTTATCAGTCAATTCTATAATTCTCAAAGGTTCATATATTTGATTGAAACTATCATCATTTAGAAATGCAATCGAACTTTAGCAACTTGAACCACCAGGGGAAGCAAACAAATATTAATTTAGTTAGAATTATCGAAAATTCAATTTAATATAATATTACACAACTTTCAGAAAAAAGAATTAAGAAAAATTTTGAAATTCATTTATTTTAGCAAATAAATTAATTAATTTTCGGAATTTTTATTAAAAGGACTGTTCTATTTTAACAATAAAAAATTTGGTAGGCCCATTAAAATCGTTGGTTGTCTCAATAAAATTTTGTTACCTCAATAACTAAAATTTAAAAATACATTTTATTTTTAATTCATGTTAAGACTGAAATAAATTTTGTTGATTTAACCAAAATATTTATTGGACCAGTCAAATATTTATTTTTCTCCTCGTAAAAATTTAATATTATCTATTTATTTATATAATTTTTATTATATTAAAAATAAAAATATTTGCTTCTTGTTAAAACTATTTTTTGAAACTATAATTTTATAATGAAAAGGACTAGACTGAAAAAAAATGTATTTGATTAATATAGTCGGTTACTTGACTATTATTAAATAAATATTCATTTGTATCAAATAAATATTTATTTTTATTAAATAATTATTATTTTTATTTAATAATTATTATTTGTATTAAATAATTATTATTTGTATTAAATAATTATTATTTGTTTTAAATAATTATTATTTGAGTCAATTAAATAGTTTTTGTTTCAAATAAAAATTATTTTATACAAGTAAATATTTATTTGAAAAAGAGTCAAGTAACCAATTATTTGAACCAAATAAATAAATGCAGTGTAATTAATAGAAATATTAATTAATTAAATCAATATAAATATTCTCTATTTGAATATAATTTTTCTCATTACTTTTGAGATAATCATAAAAAATTGGGCAATTTTTTTTTTTGTTTGTTTTTTTAATCACTATATAAAAATCTAATCTCTCGTAACGATTCTATATATAGAATGGATACATCCTTTGAAAGTTGGTCATCATTGATATTTCGTATGTATATGGGGGGAAATATGGGACCTTAATACAGCAAGAGGTTAGATCGGTGGTTGGTCTTTTGTCGCGGGTGGCATTTCTCCCTTTTTACTTTGCCACAATGGCAAAACAAAGCGTTGCCTCGGAAACTGGCGGGCGTTCGTTGCCATCACAAAACTTTCAACTTGTGACTATAAACATTAATGTGTCCTACATGAAACAGCGTGCACGCCCTGCGCACGCAAGTACGCGTGTCACTTTGTCCCTTATTCTCTTTTTTAAAACCTTTCAAAAAATTGCACATGTCCATATAAATATTTTTTTTTTTTTTTTTTTTTTTTCAAAAACGCCTTAATTGTCACTTGCAAAAAAAAGGCCGTTAATTATTTTCAAAACTCTCACAATTATACTTCCATATTCATTTACAAAAAAAAAAACTACTGTTAATAATTAATTTCCATTAATTGTAATATCTGAAGAATCTTAAAAAAAATAAATATTTGTTTATAATTTATTCAAAATATGAATTATTTATATTTTTCCATAAAAACAATTTTTTTTATAAAATTAATTTATGAATATTAAATTATTAAACAATTTAAATGTTTATCGATAGATAAAAATAATATTGCATTCGATAAATTTTAAATAATGGAAAATAGTTGAAAAAAAAAGAGTTCAAAAACTTCTTCCGCCCAACGTTATAGAGTTAATAAACGCATGTAAAATTGAAAAATATTATTTCAGAGGTAGAAAAGAGGAAAATATAAAGTAAACTTTCCTCCAACTCTTCAACACAACAGAATGCGTACAGTTTTTAAATTCACAACTATATAATATCTTTTGGGAATTGAATATAAAAGTTACAATTTAAAATGTCTCGTTCAAATAAATTTCGTTTGTACAATAATAATACTGAAATTTAACAAAACAAAAAAAAAAGAGAGAAAGAAATAAAGTTTCAGTTAACAAAGAAAAATATTTGAATAAAAATGTAACAATTTCTATTTTTTTTTTTTTTTTTTGGTAAAATTGACAAAATACAATTTTAAAAACATACGAGTTTGCATCTTTCATTTTTTAATATTAGAAAAAAATTAAATTTTAACAGAAAAACTAGTTGGATAAATTTTTTTTTAAACAGAATAATAAAAAAGAAAATTTTGTTTCAAGAAAAAATACCAATTTCCTCAATAAGTTGAATTTCTGACTAAATAATAGAATTTTCAATGAAGAGAGAAAAAGAACGAAATGAATATTCCAATTTCAAAGAAATAATATATAAGAAAACTTGTAATACGAGTAATTCAATTAAGAGCTCAAATGAGTGAATGAAAAGTGAATTTAAATCGTTTCTAATGTAATTTTTAAAGAATCATTTATATATATATATATGAAAATTACGCAAGGAATATATTGCAATAAACTCGATTCCTCTCGCAAGTATGTTTGCGATCACACCTGAAAGTTCTCCCACCTCCCAACCCCTCCTCTTTCAACTTCTCTCTCTCATCTGTATCTTTTTCTTTTTGAAATTTACCGCCTTGCAAGTGTTGTGTTTGCCCACAACTTGCAACAACTCGTAGACCTTGGTTTGTGCAAGTCCAATACTTTTATGGAGATGGAATGCAGTAGCTAACGTTTCATACGAAACCAATCCATGTATACTAAGGGTATTGATGATGGTTTCCCCATTCTTAGTGCACAACAAGATATACAGGACATTATACATAATATGAAAAAAAAAAAAAAGAAAAGAGAAGAAAAAACAGATCTACATTTATTCATGGCTATCTAGCAATATTAATAAGAATTGCAAACCGCAAACGTCACAAATCAAACTCAGGAGACGAAGATTGATTTTTAAAATTCTCTGCAACATTTACAAGAAATCATAAAAAACGTAAAAAAAAATTTTTTTTAATTAAAAAAACAATTTAATATTTTTTTATAAATTTAATTTCATTTACTAAGTAGTAATATTATTTTATTGAATTTTATATTCATTAATTAATTTATTTATTACTAATAATTATATTTTATTTAAAAATATTATTGTTAACATTTTTATTTTCACCTTTAGAAAATATTAAATCTCCCTTCATCTCCATCAAGTTCGATTAGTAACATAAATTAGTTAAAACAATTAATCAATTGTCTATTTTAAAATACTAACGAATCTAAATTATATTCGAAATAGATTTAACAATAACCAAAGTCTAGAAATAAACTAATTTCTAAATTATCCCCATCACAAAATGTTTGTAAACAAAAAATAATTGCGAAAAAATTAATTTGTTTTTTCCAATATAAATGATTCTATTACAATAAATCGAAATTCGACGTTTTAATTACGTTCAACCAGGTCACAAATTAAAGGAAATAAATTTTATTTCCAAAAACGTAAACACTCCAAATAATCTAATTGAAATATAATTACAATGTAAACAAAAATTGTTATCTAATAAAATAGAAACAAAATTTACTAATTTACTAAAAAGAAAAAAAAAATTATTTCATTTTACATGAAAATTCTACTTCCTTTATGCCAAGAAATTATTGTCTTCGTTTGTTGTAAACATGTATTATTTCAAGCTTTTATTATGTAAAAACGCTTTATCTTTACGACAGTATCCAGAAATTGGAATTTTTTTGATAAGTATTTACAACACGAGTTAAAATGTATTTTTCTAAATCAAAATTTTCCCCCATCTTTAAGAGCGAAAAACAACGCTTAAGAGAAACGTTTTAAAATTGAAATTTTTTTTTCCCAATAATAATAACTACAGGAAATCTATTAGGCGACTTGCATTTACATTCCCGAATTAATTGTCCTTAACAACTCACCTCACTTTCTGTGGGGTTATCCGGCCATGTTTCGGTCGCTAGCACGCCAAGTCGCATTTATTGACTTGGTCGTCGACCCATGTTATAGAAATACCAGTCACGCAATAACAATGAAATCAACTCGACCCACCCCGCATTTTTACAATTACACTTAATGAACAAATTTTTATTCGCCAAGATTTCATTATTAATAAAGCAAAACAAAAAGAAACATTGGAATATTAAATGATGCGCTAAAAAAAATCGTTACGCAAAATATTTTCAGGGTTGATGGGGACAAACGAATACTCGCCATGTGAAAATAAAATTAACCCCCAAAAAAATACGCTGATAAGAAGAAGCAAATAGAAATTATGCATGTAAAATAATTGTATCGATAAATGAATTAAATGAATTAAAATAAACTTACCTCGATATTATTGATGCACAGGATGATTTTAATGGATGAATTGCAACTCAAAAAATATGCAACTTGATTTAATACAACCACAGCACAATGGCGCACTACGAACTCCTAGAATGCTGTTGAGTGACGCTAGTTGCAGTTCTCGATTTCCCGCAATGATGATCACTTTACCGCCATCTTCAGGGTGAAGCAACAAACCTAGTGAAGCCCAATGTTGGGAAGGTGATTTCTGGAAAGTTTGATAGGTACATAAAGGTACAATCACACTGCTAACATCATTATGTCCAAACGTATGAATTGTAAAATTAAAATTATTAAAAAGAGAATTTACAAAGGAAAATCGTTTTCTTATTAATACACAGTTGCAACTTCTAAAAACAAGTAAATACAATACCCGAAATATGGAATTCTAAAGGAAGTAAATGGAACATCTGAAATGTGACCAGTACGTCTGGACAAATCAAACAAATGTAAATTTGATTGGTTCCTCTAAATTTAAATTTAATTTTAAAAATAAAGTCACTAAATTTTCACTAGAGCAGGGCGCGGTAGTTGACGACCAGTTTTTTTTGAGAAAAGTCTGCAACTCGAAAAAATTATAACCTCAAATAGTAGTTATATTATTGAAGTTGGAAATTTTTACAATTAATAATAATAATCCTAAATAAATCAAGTGATTTTACGAATAAATGTTGTAAATTTCATTCTTATTTTTTACAGTGTGCATGGTAAGTACTAAAAAAGTAATTAATTTTTTTTAAATGATATGAAAAACATTTTTTTAAGTTATTACATTCTCACCATGTGTTTTTTTTTGTTAAAAATAATATTTAAAAAACATTTATTGTTAAAAATACGCTATTATGGTTATTATTAAATACAATTACAGTCTGTTAATTTAATCTAATTAATTTTCTTATCAATTGTTTAATTTATTTATTCTTTTTTTTTAACAATGAATAAATACAGCCACGCCTTTATAAATCATTGTTGTTTTTTCTTTTAAATTATATTGATTTAATCTAAATATTTTAATATTTAAGTATATTAATTATTTTATTTTATTAACTAAATCCAAACTTATGTCAGAAGTTTCTTAATGAAATTTTTTAAACTGTTTTATATTATATTTTTATTATATAATATAATGTTAATGTTTTACTTTTTTATAGGCATTAATATAAGATAAAAAAAAATGTATCAAAAGAATACTCCGCCTTTATCACCTGATATGGAACAGGAGATTGATGAAAATGATGTAGTATATTTCGAAGATTTAGTAGAAATAAATGATGTCGAAGATTTAGAAATGGAGAATATGGATGAAAATGAAGAAGCCGAAGAAAACAATAAAGAAGTTCCAGAAAGAGATGATGCTCTTTGCATATTTTCCGGACACACTGGTTTGTTAATTATTCTTTATTTCAATATTTTAACGCTTTTATTAAATGTGGAATTCAATTTATTTTTTCGTTCTAGGACCTGTATTTTGTGGGGCTTTAAGTAAAGATGAAAATTTAGCAGCAACTGGTGCTGAAGATGACAAAGCATTCATTTGGAATACAGTCTCCGGTGATATATTATTTGAATGTACAGGACATACAGATAGTGTGACATTTGCTGATTTTAATTATGATGACTCATTTTTGGCAACTGGCGATATGAATGGAATTGTTCAAATTTGGAAAGTCAACGAGAAACAATGTGTTTGGAATTTTGACATGGGAGATATGAGTGTGAGAAAATTAATTTCTCTTTTAATTGAATGTAAAAAATAATTATTTTTAACGAAAATATAAATATAATAAATTACATTTTCATACAGTGGATGCAGTGGCATTTTGCAGCTAATGTTTTGCTTGCCGGATCAGTTCAAGGTGAAATTTATATGTGGAAAATACCAGATGGAGATTGTAGAATTTTACCTGGAAGTGGATCCGGAGTGGAAACTGGAATTTTATTACCAGACGGTATTCTATTATTTTTGATATATGAAAAATCAAAGATGGAAATTAAAATTAAAACACAAAAGTAGAAAATGAAATTAAAAATATTCAATTTATTAACAGGTAAAAGACTTGCTGTGGGATATGGGGATGGAACGATACGCATTGTAGATTTAAAATCTAATTCTGTACTTTTCACTGTCACGCAAAATTTAGGACATACACAAAAAGTAATTGCTTTAGATTGTTACGTTGACAATAATTTAATTATTTCCGCTGGTATGGATGGAAAAACAATCATTAGTTCTTCACAAACTGGAAAGGTAATTTAGAATTGAAATTTTATTTATAAAACTTAAATTTCAATAAATTATATATTTTTTAATTTAATGTATTTTATTTTACTTTAATGTTAATTAAATTGTCATTTAGGTTTTAAACGTCCTTCAAGATTTACAAGGAGGTGGTAATTCAAATGAGGAAGACGATGGAAATTCAATGGAAGAAAATCAAGGTAACTGGGCAGAAGCAGTGGCGTTTTATAAAGATCCCGAGCATCAAATTGCAGCAACTGGAACTATAAATGGGGAAATTTTCATTTGGGATATTGCCAAAAAAATGGTTAGACACAAAATTGAACAGAAAAGTGGAATTAGTAAATTATTATGGAAAGAAGGGACTGCTTTACTTTTTGCTGCAAGTTTAGATGGAATATTAAGAGTGTTCGATGGTAAATCAGGTGAATGCGTTCGATTATTTATCAGTCATAGTGCAGATATCTTCGACTTGTGTTTATCGAGGTAAGCAAAATAAAATTTATTATTAAAAATTTAGTAATTTCAAAAAAAAAGGCATAAAAAAAATAACTGAAAATTTTTCAGGAACGGAAAGAAAGTTTTAACAACGTCCGAAGATAAAACAGCGAGAATTTTTGAAATCGATATACATTAATTTTAACGAATTATTAACAACGCAGAAGTTTAGGCAAATTTCAGCCATTTATAAAAGTCTATTTATTACTTGTTAAGTTTAGAAATTATGCAATAGATCAATTAAAAGGAATAATACAATTAATTAGAGAAAGTATCAAACAATTTATTAGCTAAGATACTTCAACAATCAACAGTTTTACAAAAAAAATATTTTACAGCTTTTTTTTTTTACTATATACTATATACAGAAAAAAATAAATCACAATTTATAGGAGAGTTTAAGTGATTTGTCTTTATACCATTTGGTATCGAGATCGTATTTCATATTTCGCCATAAGAATTGAGTAGGTCCGTGTTCCTCTCCATTGTCAAACGAAAAATAAGAACTAAATTCAATTGCTAAACTAGATTTTACAAGGCCAATTCCTCCAGCGAGAGTTGGTGCTGGATGATATACTCTGCCAGTTGCAGGATTCATAAAAATTTTTCTCGGTTCAAAAGGAACCTAGAAGAATAAATTCAACGTATAGATTTATAATATTGTTGTTCAATAATTATAAGTCAAAAATAAATGCGGCCGATTGCGCAAAAAAAAAAATAATAAATAAAATAGTTAGAAAAATATTTATTAACTGTTAATAGTTCGCCAGCATGACCGTAACTAAATTGTTCATCGGTGATTTCATGTGTTGTGTCAATTTTTTCAATAATATGCGTGAATACAATTGGAAGATCGTCACATCTAATGAAATTTCTTTCTCGACCGCATAATGATACAAATGGAAAGTCTTGAGAATAACGTCCAGTGTTATTTAAACGCAATCTCCGAAAGAAGAAAACCAAAAATTGTTTATCTGAAATAATATTCACGTATTCTCCATAAAAACTAAAATTGAAAATATTCCTAGGAATATGTAAATTTACAAATTTTCAAGAAAAATTCTTGAAATATAAATTAAAAATGGTTGCATTTAATATCAAAATCTAGATTTAGAATCGTTTTAAAATTATGGCCTATTTACACAATCGAATTTTTTGTAAATTTGTAATTTTTCTACAAATATATTTTTTTCGTTTTTCTTTTTCTACTTTTCGTATATATAAATTTTATTTTTGAATTAATAAATCAATACTAATATAAATGACATATCTGAATATTGAGGTCCAAATTTACTTCATTTCGATCAAAAATTGTATATTTAAGTATCAATATTTTAAATATTTAAAAAATCTGTAAAAATTATATTTAATTTATAAAAATTTAATCTATTTTGTTATAAGTGATAATTTTATTTATTTGCTCAATTATTTAGTAAAATATAATTTTTTCGTTAACAATTCATTATAATATAATTTTTTTAATTTTAATAAAAAAATGAGAAATACATAATTATATAGTTCAAAGTTGAATAAATATATTTCAATCAACATATATATATATACACAGAAAGAGTTTATATAGGTGTTTAGATCGTTATTTAAAATATATTGTTAAACCTCTATCTTAAATCTATGGAAAACAATTGTTTATAAATTTGTTAACAGTTCACACTTACTGTATGCATATACATATATAATATTTATTGCATTTATAACTGTTTTCATAAGATTATAAAAAAAAATGATATAACTATCAAAAAAATTATTTTACTTCAATCTCGTTTATATTTTTGTACTTTATTGTAGAAAACACAAAAAAACTAAAACGTTCACTGCAAATCGACACAATGTTTTTATATACTAATAATTATGTTTTCTAGACATTTATGTAATTTAAAAAAATATTATTTTAAATAATACACTTATTATTAATAGAGAAAATGTCAAAGTTAAGGAACAATATTGTTGCAACCTATTTGTATGAATTTAAAAAATGTCAATAAATAAATTTTAAGCTTTTAAAAGAATTTAAATTATTTTCCCCTTTATTTATTACGTACCTTTGAAACATGATGTAAAGTTTTTTATTTTAGTGTCATCCAGAAATAACTGTCAATCATATGGAAATTATAATTTGTCATTTGTTATTTATAAAAAAAATATTTCGTTTGACAAAATTGAATATAAAATATAATTATAATAATATTTGCAAATTAAATTTATAATTATTAAAGTAATTTTACAAACATTGCTTAAAATTGTTCGAGTGTCAAGACTTCCTTTTGAAAACAAATTTCGGAGTTTACTCTAAATAAAAGTAATCATTCAAATTTTCTAGAGAAAATTTCTTATAATTATAAAATAAAACGTTTCTTTTAGAAAATTTACCATTCCTTGATGATCAATATAATAAAAATATTCTCGAACCCGGGGCTCTGGAGATTGTCCTTGAATATAAGAGCAACATAACCGATTCCTTGACATAACCTCAAAATTTGACAGTAAACCTTTTGAACATCTCAGTGATCGCGTTTTATTTAGTAAATATTTATAAATCATTATAAAGGCAATCAGTACTATAAAACTGGTAACAATAACTTGTTTAATAATATTTAAAATGGTAAAATTTACCTAAAAATGTACTGCAAATTAAATAATTGACACTTTTATCATTTTTTTTTACCATACTATTGGAAATTAAACGAAGAACAATTTTAACATTGACAGTTAAAAAAATATAACACTATCTCACTGGAAGAATATTTTAATTTACATAATTATAATATTTTTATAAAATATGAACAGCTGACTTTTGTTATTGTTGTTGTTCAATACTTTTGATCACGTGACCTTCGTTTAGAGAGTTTCGATATCTCGATTACTTAATTCCTACTTTCACACCAGTCTTCCCACACGAATAAATGACTAGCTTCAGATCATAAAATACAGAAAGTGAGAAAAATATTGAGTATGCATGATATCTTAGTTTTTATTGAATTTACGGAAAAAACAAAACTTTTAAGCATTACTTCTTCAAAATGTGGTTATATTATTGAACAACTAACGTCTGTGAGAAATTTGAAGAATTAGAAATGTCACATATAAAGTTGATAAAGAAAAAATCTTACATCTGTAGACGGACTCCAATTGTTGTTACTGCCAAATAAGTCCTTCACTTTAGAACTTGATGAGCCAAGAATGGCTTCGTCTACAAGAAAATCCTGGAAACTCCGTAAGTATTTCAAAATCTTTTCTCAATTTTTTCCAATATCATTTCTCTCAAACAAATCCTTCATGACACGTTTGTATATGTGTAAATTATTGAAATTTCCTTGAATCTGTTATTCTATTACAAAGATCTTTAAAATATTCATTAATCAGATCCTTTTAAAGGAGATGAATTTGATTTTATTTTCAAATTCTTGAATTTTACAGAGGAATTTGTTGCACACTCGTCCATGGTTAATTGTCTCTCATTGGGACACAAGTCTGGACGTGTTATGGTTACTGGTGGTGATGATAAAAAAGTAAATTTATGGGCAGTGGGAAAACAAAATTGTATTATGGTAAGAAAAAAAAAATTTTATTTAAAAGAAATATATTGTTGAAATAATTTTTCAAATATTTCTATCTTATGAGAAACAAAATAATTATTGTTTTACATTTAATGGATTTTTTAATATTCTGTGACTAATGTGTCCAAATCAATATTTCCTTATCTTTTGCTTGTGATTTCTTTTTAACAAAAGGATTAAGCATGTCGGAAAATAAATCTTGATACCGTAAATCGTTTCTTTTGAAATCAATGATCTTATCTCTTAACATACCTATTGGGAAAATGTAAAGCAACAATTTTAAATTATATTATTTCCCATTTTTAGTATTTTTTATTTTACTTCTATTTTAAATAAAATTCTTTAGATTATACTTAAATTTTCAATTTTTCCTTTTTTATTTCTATTTTGTATCTTTTAATTTTATTTTGTATATTTTTAATTTTTCCTTTTTCTAATTTGCTATATCTATTTTGTTATCAAAAAATAATAATTCGTTTTACTCTAAAATTCATTGCACAGCTGTTAATGTTAAAAAAATATTTTAATTGCTGTAAATCAGCAAAAAATAAAAAATGATGCGTTTTTTTCTCAAGGAGAACAACTTTTGAAAATTTACATTAACATTGACCTCTAAATTCTCAATGTTATGAGTAAACTTTTTTATAATTAATTCAAATGAAATACAAAATACAGAATATGTACTTGATTTTCATTGAAAAAAAGGGATATAGTTCCGAATAGCACATACCTCCGATTTCAATAAAACTTAGTATCCCTACGTAATTTGGTGCGCTGATTACGAAAATCATAGTGAAAATTGGCGGAAATTTAATTATCATGGTAAAAACCATAAAAAACACCATAAAATCATGGTTTTTTTCGATTATCTCGTAAAAAACAAAAAACTTCGAAAAAAGTTTTAGACGAAAGTTGTAGATCTCTAAAAAACACACATTTCATGTTTTATGCATTTTTTACCAAAAGTCATTATTTTTCGAGAAAAACGCAAAATAGTAAACACGGCCTTCGGCCGCGTAAGGTACTGCTCGCTTCTCTTTTTAAGAAATCTTGGCGAGAGGGGGTGGATGTGTCCGAAAGTAATTTGCAGAAATTGTGGGGTGGAGTCTACAGCAGCGGTAAACGCAAAATAGTAAACACGGCCTTCGGCCGCGTAAGGTACTGCTCGCTTTTCTTTTTAAAAAAACCTTGGCGAGAGGGGGTGGATATGGCCGAAAGTATTTTGCGGAATTCGTTGGATCCTGAGTAATGGTGAATATGATAATTTCTGCAAATTACTTTCGGACACATCCACCCCCTCTCGCCAAGATTTCTTAAAAAGAGAAGCGAGCAGTACCTTACGCGGCCGAAGGCCGTGTTTACTATTTTGCGTTTTTCTCGAAAAATAATGACTTTTGGTAAAAAATGCATAAAACATGAAATGTGTGTTTTTTAGAGATCTACAACTTTCGTCTAAAACTTTTTTCGAAGTTTTTTGTTTTTTACGAGATAATCGAAAAAAACCATGATTTTATGGTGTTTTTTATGGTTTTTACCATGATAATTAAATTTCCGCCAATTTTCACTATGATTTTCGTAATCAGCGCACCAAATTACGTAGGGATACCAAGTTTTATCGAAATCAGAGGTATGTGCTATTCGGAACTGCACCCAAAAAAAGTTATAGTTTTAATTGAATTTTACAATTTTTGATTCATTTCTTCTAATCTGTAAATTTTATAAAAAAAAATATTTCTTTATTACCTTTTGAAACAAGTTTTCTATGATATTGCATTACAAATAAGAAGATTTAGCATAATGATGATTGAAGAGTATAATTTACATAATTTCACATAGTGAAGAATTATTGTTTAAATATTATAAAAAGAGTTGAAACAATTGGTGATTATTTTAATTTTAAACGTTGTATTTCATATGAGACAAGAGTATTTTGAAATATGTCAAAAATATTGATGAATGTGAATAAGAATAAAATTTCATTATTCTTTTTTATTTATATATGTGTATTTTTTTCATTGTTTTTATTCTTGATAACAGCTTTTAATTTTTTAAACAATTTTTATTCTTTACAAAACAAGTTTTCTTCCTTACAAAAACAATTGTTTTATATATCATTATTTTATTTTTTCCTTTCAGTTTTTTTTAATTTATTCTAATTGAAGTGAACTAAATTCTTATTGCGCTAGATTGATTAGAAATTTCGCAATTATTTCTGTTTATAGAGCTTAAGTGGACACACAACACCAGTAGAATGTGTAAGATTTGGTCAAACTGAAGATTTAGTATGTGCTGGCTCACAAACTGGTGCATTAAAAATTTGGGATTTGGAGCACGCTAAACTATCACGGACACTAACTGGACATAAGTCAGGTATTCGTTGTATTGATTTTCATCCATATGGCGAATTGGTCACATCAGGAAGTACAGATACTGCTATCAAATTATGGGATATTAGAAGAAAAGGCTGTATATTTACGTATAAAGGACACAATCGAACTGTAAATAGTTTAAAATTTAGTCCCGATGGACAATGGATCGCAAGCGCCGGTGAAGAAGGAATGGTGAAGGTTAGTAACGAAATATGAATTTAAAAATAAAAAAAATACTTTTTGTTAAATTATTATTTGTTTTAATATATGATAAATTATTTTTTAGTTATGGGATTTAAGGGCAGGTCGGCAATTGAAAGAATTTTCAGGACATAAAGGTTCAGCAACGACCGTTGAATTTCATCCTCATGAATTTCTACTAGCGAGTGGAAGTGTCGATAGAATTGTTCATTTTTGGGATTTAGAGTCATTTCAACTTGTATCGTCGAGTGAACAAAATAATTCTGCTATTAGGTAAAGAATCAACATTATTAATAAAAAAAAAAGTGACTGCAGATAAGAGAAAAGTCAGAAAATTTTACTGTGAATAAGTATAAAAATTAAAATTTTTATTATCTAATTTATAATTTACTTGTTTTAGGAGTCTTTTCTTTAGTTCTGGAGGTGAATGTCTTTATGTTGGCAGTCAAGATGTTCTGAAAGTTTACGCATGGGAGCCAGCAAGAACTTTGGATACAATTCCAACCGGTTGGGGAAAAGTGCATGATATCGCAATCGCACAAAATCAATTGGTATAATTATATTTATTGAAACTTGATCAACAAGTTTCTTTTTTCTTGATTCTTTTTATTGTATACTTTATTTAAAATATTTCCATTTTTTTTTATTACAAATTTGTGAAAAATTTACAGATTGGCGCAAGTTGTCATATGTCGAGTGTCGTTCTCTATGTTTGTGATATAAAAAAACCAGCCCCAGGCGGAGATCTCTCAAGTGGATTGTCCTTCAGTCATGGAAATTCTTTACGAAAAAGTTTTTCCAAAGAAAAACCTCCTGATCTGAAAAAGCATACGTATGTTTCCGTAAAACAATAATAATAAAATACAATTTTTGTTGTTTAATAATTGTAACGAAATATTTTTTAGATTGAACGTGAAAACAATTGAAGAAGTAGGAGACAAATCTGGAACTGATCCTGAAGATGAAGTGACATATGCTGAAATACCAAATGTTTCTGATTATCAGGATATTTTTCAACCAAATCGATCACGTGAGTTTTTAATTAGAAAATAATTTTTGCACAATTGTTTATGTATTTATATTTGTGTAATTGCAAAAAATGTTTCGCTTTATTGTGCTTTAACCAATGTGTTTTTTTATGTGAATGAGCATGCGCATGATGTGTTTCAGTGTCTCGCACACCGCCTCCAGAAAAAGAGTTTCTTGATCCCCAAGAAATTGGTAAGTCACTTTGTGTCGCACGCTTTTGTTCACCTAAATTGTGTTTATTTTGTGTAAATTAAATGTGATCTTTTTTTTCTATTTGGAGGAAAAACAATTTTTATTTGGTTCATTTTAGATCCGGCGCAACCGCAAATTTTGAGAAATTTGTCGAGCTCAATGTTAGACTTAAATAATGAGGAAGCTGATGATGAGAGTAAATCAAAGTCATTGCCACCACCACCTTCAGTTCCCACGTTGACCAAATCACTTCCGGTACGTGTTCATCCAATTAAATCATCACCTCCTTTACATAGAAATGTGATAACTTCCACGAGTCAAATCAAAGCTAATCTCCAAGCGAATAGTCTGGCTGGTAGTAGAAATTCTAAGAATCTTGTACCTATTCCACCGATGAGACAGAGTATCACTCCATTACCTGGAAAGAAGACAATTCCAAGTATTACGAATTCATTGCACACAATTGGTTCGTCTCAACCTCTTGGTCCACAGAGATCTAATTCGACTCTTACGCCTCGAGTGGCGCCAATGGCCGCCATTGCACCTGTGATTGATGATGCAAAATTAAAAAGTCGTGTACCTAGTCCAGATTCTCCAAAGCAATACCTGAAGAGACAAAGCAGCTGTAAGGAAGGAGAACAGGGCTACGAGAGTGATTATCCTGTACAGTAAGTATATTCTTTTTTCTTAAAAAAAAAAAAATTCGTAAAGAAATAATTTGTTTTATTTGAAATTAATAGTTTTTATAAAGATTTGTTTTATATCTTATATTTAAGGGTGATTCTCTCAAAAAGGACAAATTACGCTTTTAAGATATTTTGTTAAAAAATATGAAAATTAATTGAAAGTATTTAAAATTCTGTCAGCCATACGTTAGGATTTAACAATTTTCAATCGGACCACTAAAGAAAATTTTAAAAAAAGGTAAAATAACTGAAATATTGAATAAAAACTGATGTTACGGAATGGAGTTTTAACACTAGTTTTCATTCAATAATTCAGTTGTTTGCCATTTTTTTGAAATTTTCTTTAGTGATCCCATAAAAATTTGTTGAATTTTATCGTATGGCTGGGAGAATGTTAATTAATTGAAATTAATGTTATTATTTTTTAACAAAAACCTCGTCCAAAAATTGTGCACAAATAATTTGTTCTTTTTGAGAGAATCACCCTTAACACTAATTTAGTGTTTAATTTTAATTAATACAAAGTAAAAAAAGAAAAAAATGATAAATTAATCACACAAGTAGAAAAAGTAAACATTAATAAAGTGAAAAAAAGAAAATTTTAATTTTGTAAAAATTGACATAATTATTTTTTATTTAAATAATTTAGTGTTTAATTTTAATTAATACAAAGTAAAAAAAGGTAAATTAATCACACAAGTAGAAAAAGTAAACATTAATAACGTGAAAAAAAGAAAAATTTAATTTTGTAAAAATTGACATAATTATTTTTTATTTAAATAATTTAATCTAATCTTCAGAATAAAACAAAATAGAAATGATTTATATATGAAAATGAAGTTAAAAGCAGTGGATAAAGAAATTACCCTATATTCACTTCGAATATAAAATAACTGTTTCTTTAGGTTAGTTATCAAAATTTTTTTAAAATTCTAATTTTAAAATGCATTTTTACAGTGATTATCAGGTATGAAATAATTTACATAAAATAATTAAATATTTAAATAAATTACTAATAATTTTCATAAAATAGAACAAATTCCTCAACACATTCAATTTTGAGAAAGTAAATAAAAAAATTTCAAAGATATTTTTAAAAATAGATTTCAGTAAAGATATTTCTTTATAAATTGTCTAGATTTGTTTTTTACAAAATTCACATTAAATCACCTAGGGAATAAAGTTAATAGAGATTGAAAATTCTCAAGGAACCTTTTTCTAAATTACTGTAGATTCCTTGGTACTGGAAATTCAAGAAATTTTTACTGGTATTTACTGAAAGAAATTTGGACTTTCATATTGGACCTTCTGTGGAATTTCTGGTAGACTAACAATCCATGTCACATTTTATATTTATAAATAATAATACCTGATAAATAATAATTATTATTACTTGATTTTATTTCATAATGTTTTTTGTTGAAAAAAAAAAAATAATTATGTCTTCTCTTTTTGTTGCTTTTAGGATTAACAACATAAGACACAGTCCTTCGGATCCTGCATTAAATAGGCCAAGTACAGCGCAATCAAGAACAACGTCGATAGGTCGAAATTTTGTAAATTCATCACCATTGTCGGCGCGAAACATTTCAACGTCGAGAAAAACGAATAAAGCACAAGTTGCTCCAAATCCTAAGACAGATACAAGAATCGCTCAATTAAGGCCGACGATAAATAATGTCGAAAAAGAAGAATTTGTCCCCATGACAGCGGATAGACCTTATGGTTTAGATATGGAAACATTTTTACCGGTAAGAAACAAAAATTATTTTCACTTTTTTTTTTTAATTAGAAAATTGTACGAAAATTAAATGTTTTAAAAAATTCATGTAATTTTATTAATTATTGTTTTTAAATGTAAAAAAATATAATTAGACAAAAAAAAAATTATTTATTTAAAAAGTGCAAATAATTTTATTATCTGATTTTTTTCTAGAATAATTATAAAGAAACATCGGCATTGGTTTATTCGCAAGTTGGAGTTCTTGCTGAAATGTCTGAAGCTGAAGTCTTGAGTAGTATGATGCGAGGGCATGAATCCATGATGGCTGTTTTAACAAATCGACATCGTTCGTTGCAAATAATTTATTCGCTTTGGCACAATAAAGATCTCAAGGTAAGTGTTGCAATTTATTTTTTAATTTAAAAATTAATTCTAAAAGTAGTAGATTTGCATGTTTAATTATTATTTAATAAATAATTTTGTCATTACAGTCTGCAATAGACTCTGCTGTTGCAATGAATGATTTGTCAGTAATTGTAGATCTATTAGGAATCCTTACATTAAAATCGTGAGTAAATCATGTTTTTTAATTTTTTAATAGTATTTTTTTTTTTATTTTAAATTTCATTTTTGTTTTTTCAGTTCAATTTGGAATCTGGATCTATGCAATTCTTTTCTAATTCCAATCAAGGATCTTCTTCAAAGTAAATATGAAATGTAAGTAAAAGAAATTAATTTTATATTTCTTTATAATCTTATAAATCAGGAAAAAATTGACAACATTTAAATTAATAATTTAAAAAATAAAATAATTAAATTGAAAAGTAGAATTGAAATATTGTTGAGATTTTCACAATTCTTAAATTAAATAATTAAAAGTTCTAGGATCATTAAATGTTTTTAAAATATAACATTAAATTGAAATAATATACAAAGTAATAAAATGCAAGAATAGTAGAAAGACTTTAGTTTTCGGTTTATGGCCTTGGCACTTTGTGTTTCTTTGAAAAAATATAAAAATTCACGATACCCAACATAAAGATTGGTAATATGACTCGGAAGTTTGCGGTTTCATGTTTTCTTCTTTTGTTTCTCAAGCACAGCATCCTTTTTCATCTCAAATACAATTTTACTGCTATTGTTTGAAATTGAATTTCATAAAAATATTGTCATCAACCCTTTTTTAAAATAAATTTTTTTAAAAAAAAATTTAATTAAATAATTTTAATATTTAAATTTTTTGAAAAATTTAATCGTGTAAACTTTTTTGCAATTGTATACTTTAATATAAAAGTGGATAAAGGTTCTCTTAAACAACCCTTTTTTAAAGTGAACCCTTCTATAAAAGCGCTTCACACCCCGCACGCAAATTCGATAGCAAACAAAGTGGTCCGGTTGAGAGGGTACTTCGAGTGTAAGATCATAATTTTCATGCAGCATGCCACAGTATTAGAAAAGTGTATTCCGTGTCACATTCGTGTATGGGAATGGCTAATTTGAACTTGTGAATTGATGCACGAACGTTTGTATAGATGAAATAAGGGTTCGCGAAAATTAGCCGAAACAATTGGGAGACAGTGACAGATGCAAATTCGAGTTCGATACTCTTCTTTTAGGAAATGTATTGTTCAAATTGAAATTCGAACAGCACAAAACACATGACACTCTTTAAACTTCCTTTCGATTGCGAATAATGTAAATATCATCCCTATTCTGTTTTCGATTTTCTCATAGCTGTCACTTTTTATACAATAATAAAAGTGGGAAATTTTTTTTTAAATTACTTTATTTTAATTTTATTAAAAAAAAACTATGTAAATTTTTGAAGAACTACGCAATAATTTAATTAAGAAAAACAATTTTTAATTAATTTTATTAATTATAATTTTTAATTATATTTGATAATAGTTTTTGTGTAAAATTATAACTAGAAAAAAAGATAATTACAGAGATTATTTTTTCAAAATTATTTTAATTCAGAAAATAATTAAGTTTGAAATTTTTTCGTTTCGTTTGTAATAGGAATGTCCGCTAATTATTATCGTTCATTTTGCAGCTGTTCTCTTTTTTTAAATGTAATTTTCGTTTTTGCTTTTTTTTTTGCCTACTGTCACACACAATGTTGTAGAATATCATTCGAATCGAAGAAGTATATAATTTTGTATTTTGTACCCTATTATAATATAATTATGTCAAACGATGTAGAATTTGAAGGCAGATTTAACGTAGCATGTAAATAGTAAATAGCGATGACTTTAGATGAGCAGTTTGGGTTATAACTATACTCGTCATTTTTACGCTTCGTTCGTCATGCCATCGTTTTACAGGTCTCGTGTTAGTTCGTGAGAAAAAAATCCAATGAATGTAAAATTATATCGTTTAGGCGCGTGCCGTACATTCTCCTTGAAAAAGAAAGGGTTTAATTGTCAATTTTCTGCATAACCTTTGTCAGTTTTATAATTGGAACATGTTACAAAATTGTAACAGATTCTGGAAAATTTTTATTGAGTTTGTTTTACTTATTTATAATTTTATAAATTATTTTATTTATTATATTTTATAATTATAAATTTTTAATTCCAGTTTTATAAAATTTTTATTTTAACACATCAAAAGTGTTTATCGATTGTTTGTGATTGAGAGAAAGAAACCTTCGCACGATCGTGAAACTAAAGAATTCATATAGTATATATATAGGCCCGGGTGGTGATTCGATGCGCTGATTCAAATGGGAGTTCGCCAAACCCTTTTTTGATCGGGAAAGAGAAACCGAGCGAACCGAATTTAAGCGAAGTTCGCGTGCCTTGTTATTTATTGTGATCGTTATAACATAATAAGGCCTTGTAGAAAATAATAGTCCGTAACAAGATGGGAGGGCAGAATTTTTACTGTCCAGCAAAAGCGATTTCCTTTTATGTTATATATATTCCATCATATAAAAAATTACAGCCAATGACCCGAATTATCAACCGTGTTTGATTTCATTTTATTTATCTGCGAAAAAATTCCTGATAGATTTATCGCCTCCATGAAAATGACACGTTATGTTTCCAAAGATATAAAAAGTAGTGCTAATTTATCTTTTTATGTGTTATTTCGTAAAAATAATATATATTTTTTTTTATTAGATGCTTCCAACCGCATGAAGTTGTATTAAAAGTTAAAAAGTAATACATTTGTCATAAACTGAAAATTTATTGCAAAATAAATGTCTTCCACATTACATAATTAACTTCATAGGGGCGAAATATCTTCGAGACTTATATTAAAAATTTATCTAGAAAATTCGATTTCATAATGAATTAGATTATTTAAATTTTTGTTATTATTCTTTTGCAGGTATGTTACTGTTGGGTGTTCTGCCTTGAGACTGATTCTTCGAAATTTTGCGCCAGTTATCAAATCAAATGTGGATGCACCTTTGCATACGATTGGTGTAGACGTGTCTCGAGAAGAGCGGTAAATTATTTAATTTGAATTTTTAATTAATCTTTAATTCCTTAAATTAATTATATGGAAATTTTCAGATACCACAAGTGTCATTCATGTTACGAGAAGCTCATGACAATACGAAGTGTGATATTGAAAAAGATTGCATTGCCGGGAAAATTGGGCGCCTCTTTTCGTGAGCTCGATGAACTAATGAAAACTCTTGAGTGACAAAAATTACAAATTTTGCGATCATGTTCCACTAAATTAAGCCGCCAAATTATTTGTATTACTCCGAGAAATCTAAGATGTCGGAGATAAAAAGAGAGAAGGAAGGAAGGAAAAAAAACCACAAGTCTGCCAAGAGATAACGAAGTAACGAAGTCAAATCGCTGTGTTCCATTGTGTCTGGGAAGCATTAAAAATTCGTTCTCTTCGTCGTCGAATGCCATAAAAAAAAAGAGAAACAGAAGAAAGAAACCTACGTCGGCGCTTCGCTACAAAGAACAATCTTCAGGAAAAGATTTGACTCGTTTAAAAAGCGATCGTTAAACGTATATACGGTAAGATAAAAAAAAAAAACGAAAAAAATACCATTTCTTCATGTCTTTATCAAATATTTTGCTCAGAGCAAAATTTTATTTGGTCTTGCCAATTTTTATTAAAAAAGAGAAGTAAATTCAGTTCTAATTAATTAATTTTTTATTATCTCGATAGTGATAATATCGTGATAATAATTAACGACTAACTACAAATTTCTCATTGTAGCAAATTTAACTTTTTTTTTAATTATTAAAAAAACCTCACAGTAGAACCTCTTGAATCAAACTCTAGAAATATTACTAAAAAAAAAAAATATTATTTAGTATTAATAATACAGTTAAAAAATTGTACTAAAAAATTTTTTTATAACCAAAAACTAATGTTCGTTTCAAGTGGTTCTACTTAATTAGAATATTGCGGCCATAACTTAATGTCTGTTCGGTTAAAAGTTGTCAAATGAGTCTTGGGCGAAAAGGCAATCTCAATAAGGAAGAAAAACCTTTTTTATATACTTTTTTTTTTGTTTAAATTAACATAAAGCTCTCTTATATTTTAGTCTCGAATTTTTAACAATTTAATTTATTTGGCAATTATTGGAACTGAGTAAAAAAAACATAGGTAATTCAAAAATTTTTAGGGAATAATAATTTTATAATCTAGAAAAATATTAAAATTTAATAGTTTTCAAATTTATATTTTAAGGGCATTAATTTGGAATTAATTTGAAATTTTTTTTATAAATTTCCTTTAATAATTAAAAATTAAATTTAAAAAAAATCAATTGATAACATTTTTAATCAATTTTATAATAATTGAATAATTGAAAATTATAGCAAATTACATTAATTTCATTTTTATCAATTACATTTTAAAGTTGGACTGCTAATTTTAAATTTATTGTGAAGTAAAAGATTTTATTGCTTCATTATATTTAAGTGTATAAATTTTAATGTTTCGAACAAGACAATATTTTTTATCAATATTTAATATTTATCTTTCAAAGAAAATCGAATTTTTCTGTAAAAGAAAATCTGAAATAGAAACTTCTTTTTTGAAGACACGCCTGATCAATTCCGAGAGCGAATCAAATTGATCGTTCACGTACGATTCACTGTCTTTGCTCAAAATAATATCTTTTTCATTTTACTCCGTATTCGATGAGATTGTCCTATAAGGCCATCATTTACCGAACTCTATATTTTTATTTATTTTTTTTTTTTTGCACGCATAAATAAATATTTGGGTTCGTGTAAAAATATCAAATGGATTAATCGGAGTGCAAAATTTTCTTTCTCATTTTTTTTCCAGGAGTACTTACAATTTTTAAACGTTCAAGTTTCAATGTATGTTATATAATAGTTCGATATTCAAGAAAATGTGATTACTCCAAATTAAAAAAAAAAGAAATAGATAAAAATGAATGATCGATGTGAATGATAAATAATTAATTGAATGCAAATCAGAAATGAATTTCGTGATATTTGGAGGATTGCATTTTGTTAAAATATTCTTGACGTGTATTTTTCATTAGAGATAAAATTAATTAAGGTAATTTATTGGCGACAATTTTTTGTCAAATGGGAAATTTTAATGATTTTGAAGAATTTAAATTTTCAATTTTATTTTACTTTTATGAAGGAAATTTTACTTTTTAATACATTTAAGTATTTCATTTAAAAAAATTTTGACAAACAATTTTTTTTACTTTTCTTTTTATTGAAATTTATTTTACTAAACTTTTTATAGTATAATATAATAAAAATTGATAAATGTGAAAAATTATTATTTATTTAAAGTGAAAAATAAATAATAAAATAAACTAAAAATTCATCATAAAAATAAATTTATATTCTTGAAAATCTTTCTAATTCACAGAATTAAATTTTCTTGCAAAAAATATCGCAGATGAAATTACCTTTTAAAAGTAAAAATCATTATGACATACCTCTTTTCACCAATGCGTGCTAAAAATTAACATTGTATAATTAAACCTCGAGAATGATTCCGTCCAATATATTTTTATAAAAAGAGAAAATAAAAAAGTGTGCATGGAGCTTTCTTCCACTTGCTAGATACTGGCCAATCAATATTTAAATGAAACACTAAAATAATGATTAATGACTGGCGATAATAATTGTAAAGGAGTTGGAGTTACTAATAAGAAAAAAAAAAAATGTTTTCTCCGATTTATCATATAAGTCTGAATTTGTTAACGGAAAAGGGAGATACCACTTTATTATTATAATAATTATAATTAATTAATGCAATCATTTTTTCCGACAGATTTTTCTGTCAAAAAAAAATTTTTTGGTATTAATTTTTAATTTTTTTTTTCTTTATCTCGAGACTGATCGCTAGTAATTTTTAGAAAATTTTTCTCAAGCTTTATACCAATTTTTTCGCGTATTCCCCAAACTTTACTCCTCTTCTCCTTTGGAGTTTTGTTCTGCGCGTATTTTTACGCCTCCCAGTGAAAAAATCGAGAAATTAGTTTCTTTTTTTTGATTACAAGATAATTCTGCGATAGATATTTATTTGCAAACAAATAAAAAATAGTCTTTTTGTAATTTATCACAATCGTGTTTTTGACTTCAAACACGAATTTGGAATATTCTAAGAAAATAATTTGGATTTAAAATTCAAAAAAAGGAATTTAAAATAAAATTCGAAATTATGAGGAAATATATTTTAAATTCAAATTTGAAGTGAGACAGGATTGTGAAAATGATTTTAAGCTGTAGTCGAGGAAATTGTTTTTTTTTTTTATTTAAATTTGTTATAGTTTAAATGAAATAAAAAAAAGAAGGTACTAATGGGTCATTAGCAAAGACCAATCGAGCTTAGTGATGATAAACAGCCTAATATCTTTAACTTCCACACATTTACTGCTTGTATGATACACTTGTATAATAGATGAACATTTCTGGCGAATGTACAACTCCTTGTAGTCGACACAATGTCATATCAACTTTACCTCCGAAATGAGACGATTTATCGTCTATAATAGGAACTAAAATTCGCTTTGTAAAAAGTAATAATAATGTTAACTGTCGATACTTTAATTATTATGTTTCTTTAATGAAACCTTTCCCATTGAATTAAGGATCTTTTAAGTATTCAAAATACTTATAATTATAATTAAATTATAATTAATCTTCATTTTTGTTTTCTCTCTCATTTTTCTTGTGATTTCTTTTTCGTTCCACTGAATATTTCTTCATTTTTCTCATTTTATTTTGTTTTCTTGCATTTTTTATCGCTACATTCATTTTTTTGTATTTCATTTTCCTCCAATTTTTGTTTCTTTGTTTTTTCCGACTTTTTCTCTATTTCTTCAATTTTAGGTTGCAATTTTATTTTTTTTTTTTATTTTGTCGCTTTTTCATTTGTTTTTGCTTTCTATCTTTCATTTTTTTTCGATATTATTTCTTCATTATTTTTCATTATCGTTCGATTTAATTTATTTTCTTCATTTTATTCATCTCTTCCTAAGGTAATTTTTGTAAAATTGAAATAAAAATTAAATAAAATTTTTTAAAGATAAAAATAAGATTTATCTCTTTGATTTTTAAAGGGATTATGATTGATTTTTTTTTTAGATAGATTGTAAAAAGAGTTATTGACTTTTATACTAGATATGCATATATAAAAACCGAATAGATGTGTATATATAGTATGTGAAACGAAGAGCAAATATTCGACACGATCTTATAATCCGTGAAATATCGCGACCGTTTAAACGAGATACGCGTGGCGTGTGTTTGCATCTGGATTACATATTCATAGGATTATACTATGAAAAAGAAAAAGGGGTTCTATAAACTGCAACCGATAACTCTTTTTACTGACAGGAAAAAGGTGTAAATTTCTTTTTATTTACAATAAATATATATTATAGTCATTTTTGAAAATTCTTAAAAAGTCTGTGATATTCTACAAGAAAAGGAAACTGTAATGTAAATTTAATTATATAAATTAATTAAATTTTTTTAATATTTTAAAAAAATTAATTAAATATCAATTATATTTAATTAATTTAAAATTATTAATTTTTTTTTACCTTTATTAGCTTTTTTTCTAGTTATTTGATTTTATAATTTAAATAATTCAAAATATCGAAATCTCTTTGAAGAAAAAGAAGAGAAAGAGACAGATTTGCATCATAAAAGATAAACCGGATGCGAGTGAATTTTTATTCTTTCGCACTGAAGACAGACGTTTCGTGTTTTTGAAACGAAATTATCGCGTGTTTTTTATTGAAGAAAAAGAAGAAAGAAGCTTTCTAATGGAGATCTGGTAGAAAACAAATTTCTTCGACTCTCTATTTAAGGATAATTACAACTAAAAAGCATTTCGAGTTTAAATTTGAGAAACATATTTTGAAAATTGGAGAATAATTTACGAGGATATAGAAAAATTTTACAAGTAAGTTTTATTTATACAAAAAGAAAATACTATTATTTCTCTGATTTTTATGTCTTTATTTTTTTTTTGTAGTTTCAAGTCGTGATATGTTGAAAGAGGAGCTATTGAAAGAATAATGCTAATGGAGGATGATACTCGGGAGATTTTCGAGAGATAGTGATTAAGGATCGCAGCAAGAAAGGACGAGAAATCCAACATTTTGAGGGGAAAAAGGAGAGGTAAAAAAGGATCTCTAAAAAAAAAAATTTATATATATATATAGGAATAGCTTTTACTTTGATTCACAAAGAAAAATGCGGAAGAGGGCGTAGAAGATTCACGTATCGCTTTCTCTGCCATGGGATAATCCGCTTATGCAGGTCCAGCTTTGCTTCTGTCGATGTCGTCGGTGGCATTGTTCTCGCTTTTTGTGAGAAAACAGCATTTTCGTCGCTTGAGGTGACGACAAGAAGGAGGCTTAACTTATCTCCGTCACAACAAGAGGAGATCCACTTCTCTTCAACATGAAGATTCGCCTCGATATGTATCCAAGTGTCCTTTACAATATGATCATTGATTTAGTTCTCTTCCAATGCCGCACCTGACTCGCAAACATTCAGGAAAAAAAAAACCTAAATGCAGAATAAATTGACTAGTTTTGGGAGATTTTTTTTCAAATTTCTATATCGTTTTATTTCTTATTTTTTTTTTATTTTTGAAAAAGAAATTTTTTTTGAATTAAAAAAGAAATTAATTCTTTTGTATTATTGAACATTGAACGGTTTTCTTTTTTTGTCGCAAGACTTTTCTTTGATTATACTGAAAGTAATGTATATTTATAACGATTTCAAGTATTTCGCGCAACCAATCACAAAATCCATGCCAAGAGGGGTGTTTATTCACATCGGGGTTTTGTCGAGTGTTTCACCCTCTTTGTATCGTGGAGAAGAGGGAGAGTAAACGGAACCGCGCCTTCGCCCCTTAAAACGAGGGGATGAACTTCGATCCCTTGGTTTCACCCTCGAGCACGAGGGTAGTTCCCATTTTGAGCCAATCGCATTGCGAGCACGCCCCATGACGTCATTTATTCACCCCTTGTTGTAATTAGCCAATCTGATCTCTACATATATATATACGAAATGTCCAGTATATTCACACCCTTTATATTTTATTCAGCCTCTTCGCCTTTGAAATTAAATATTTCAATTTATATTATTAACGTTATTTTTCTTTTTTGTGCAGAAAATAGTTTCTTCAATTTTTTTTTCTTTTCTTCATTTCTCTTTTTTATTATCCTGTTTTATTTTTCTACATAATCTATCATCTCTTTTTTTAAATTATCTAAAATTGAGAGATTTTACCAAATTTTTTTTTCGGAATTGGGAGAATATTATATAAGAGAAAAATACATGATATTCGTTACTTCCGCCTTTTCCGTGCTATAACGTTTAAATTACATTTTTATTTTCTGATTATAGACTTTAAATAAATTTCGTTTTGTTAAGGATTATTGTTGGAAATTGACTGATCAAGGTTTTTCGAGGTAAAGCCCGGAAGGAAGGAACGATCAGGCCCGATCATTGACATTGCCAGGATGTAATGGATAATTCCAGGAGGTCACGCACGCGCCAGATGGATGCCGCGGGGAAAAGAGCAAAACGTCTTTCAAAAAACTTTTCAAGAAGTCTGTCAGACTGTGCTCGTGCAGCTGGCAAATACACAACACATCAAGAGAGAGAGAGAGAGAGAGAGAGAAAAAAAGAATTCCGAAAAACAGCCAGAAATTCGACATTTGCAATTAACTCAATTGGACTGGCAATTAGTAGCTTATTTCATGAATCTGTCACTAGAAAATTATATACTTCCTTTACGAAATGAATTCTCAATATTTCTAAATTAGTTTAGAATTTTTAAATTTTAGTCAATAATTATTTTTGAAGAATTTATTTTCAAAATTTCTTTGTAAAAAAAAATTAAATTTTGAAGAGGAAATAATACATAAAGCTATTTATATATTTATAAATCAATCAACAGTAGTTTATTGATATTAATATTATAAGCGAATATGAAATTTAAACTCGATTTAAATAAAACGTCTTGTTTTGAGAGGAATAAAAACCTGTTACGAACCGGTAAAGCCAGAGACCTTGCGTGTGCTTGTTTGGAATAGAATTACACTATCGATATCGAATTATACGCCGTCTTGAATCGATACTTGAGAAAAAAATTGTGTGGTTTTGGCAGGCGCTCTCGGGATGCGAGAATAGATATTTATTTACTTATTTCATTTATTAACGGACTTGAAGATATCATAGTTTCGAGAGAATAATTTCATTATTTTGAGATTCTGTTATTTTTTTTTTTTTAATTTTAAAATTTAAAAGAATTTAAAAATTCTAAACACTTTCATAATTAGCGAAAATTAATTAGAACGAGAAGAGGAATGTATAAAAAAATTTCTAATTAAAATTATGGGAAATAGTAATTTAGTAATTTCAAAAATTAAGATTGATGAAGGAGAATTTGTTTTTGAAAATATTAGGCTTTTTTTTCTTATAGAAAAAATATGTAAGGATGATTTTTTTGTTAATCCGATCCTGGAAGGACTAAGTCTCTTGGGTAACGCCCGAGTAATTCGTGTTGGGCAAAAAGTGCCGCGAAGACGTTGCATCTGCAACGGAGCAATATCCTTTGTGCGGTTTTGCGTTCAGCGCAGGGATGATTGGCGTGCGATGCGCGACCACTGTCTTTCCGCTTACTGCTGTTTTACTCACCATAGTTTGGTTTACAATCACGCATAACGGACCATAGTTATATGTCTGTATATATATATATATATGCATACAACTAAAACAGGATGTTCCTCTCTCAGCTCACTTTTCATTCAAGTTTCTAAAGCAAGCGTGTAATTGAGACAAATTTGCCTTTTTCTCCCACTCTCCAGATTTTTTAGAATTTTTCAGAAATATTTTTTCCGCCCCTTGGCTTATCGGCTTGCCGAAACGAAACCAATTTCCACAAGTTTGCCCTTTTTAGATATAATATACCTGCACGTGTTCGGTATTACATTTATTTTTAAGTATGTCTTTTTTTTTCTTTCCATATAAACATTTTTCTGTTTTCTAATTGGATTTGTCGTTACGCTGCGAATTATTGTCAAGAGGGGTTTTTTTTTTGAAAAAGAAACACGTGCTGAATTTTTCCGGATAATTCCACTATTGTGATAATTTTCCAAATTTTATTTCTCTAATTTTCAATTAAACCAAATTGTTGTATAAACGATAGCATTGAATTATATTTCCGGAATGTAGATATAGTGAATAATGTGATTAATAATTTTTTAGAAACTGTAAAAGAAAATAAAATGTTTAATTAAATTAAATATACATATATATAATTTAAATATTTATTTAATTGTAGAGAAAAGAATATTTTTAAATTTTTTCCCGCAATTTAAACAAACCAATCAAACACTGTGGAATTGGAACGTTTCGCGGTATAATGATTAGAGCCAATTAGAAAATTAGATTCTGTTAACATTAATTTGATTTGTTGATTTGTTTAAGCAGCCAATCAGATTGCAGGGGGGAGAAGGTGCATATATTTTTATGCGGGAAAAGCTCATTCCCTGTTGTGGAAATTGGCGGAAGGACCATGTGTCGTTTTGATATTATATTTCCAAAATTTCATAATAATCATGAAGAGAATCGACTAAAATGGCTGATAAGGTAAAAATTTACATTAATTTCCTGTTAATAACATATAAATATTGTCTTAATAATCTTTAAGAATATGTAATTATTGACAATTGAGATTATTTTACTATTCCCCCATCCCTTCAACCCTCTATTTTAGTCTAACATAAATCAGATCTTTTCCTATATTCATTTTCTTAAAAAATAATATTCGAATCAAATCTATTATTTTGGAAATCTTAAAATGAGAATAATTAAGATATCCTATTTTTGAAAGAATAGAAATTTTTGTTTGGATAGGATCGACAATGACGTCACAACATAGTGTAATTAAATTATTGCTAATCAGCCTTTTATCGATTGATATATCCTAAATAACATAATTGTTATGGTCATAACCTATCAAAATACCTATAGTAATTGATTTTTTCCTTCGATTCCGTTATTTTTACAACCCTCTGAATCTTTCCCCTCCCCCCCCCTTTTTTTTTCATTTCTGCCATTGTCGCACGATGGCACGACTCGAAAGTGTTGAATTCTTTGTTTTAAATGAATCAAACTAAATAATTGCATTGAATTTTCCTCGTTTTATAAATGTGTTCTCGAAAATATGGGGGTGAGTATTAAGAGTTATTAAAAAGCGTAAATCTGAAAAGATCATATAATAATCGAAGTGATGACGCTGCCTCGTGTATATAGTTAAATTTTTTCATTTTTTAGTTAATTTTTCGTCATCTGATTATTTAAAGTTACAATTTTCATTTGTCTTAATTCATGTAAGAAAATTTATTTATGAAAAATTTGAAAGCTCGTGGTAACATAACCTAAAAAGAGTCGTCTTTTCACTTACAATTAAATCAATTATTTATTCAAGTTGTCTAAATTTGCTGTCTTTATTTAGGTGAAAAAACTTTTGGAAGAAGAAAATCCAGATATGAATAATTGAGGTTATGGGGCTCAAAGGACAGCAAATTTATTGTATTGCAGCGTCATTGAAAATTTCGAAACAGCATTGATATAAAGCAAGGATAATCTTCAGTTGTTTTAAAAAGGTAATTAGAATAATTAAATATATATATATTTTTATCAATGTATTTTATTAAAGTTATTATTCATTATTTTTACATAATTTTTATTAATATTAGAATCATAGAAATATTTTTTCGTTCTGGGTACTAATTACAAAAAAATTCCTTTATTTTTTCTTCCACAAACTATGAAAATTATTACAAAAAAATTAAATATTACAAAATTTAAAAACTAATTTTGATTTAGAATTTTATTAATTTGTTAGTTTTAATTTTTATTATCTTTTAATAATTACTTTTAAAATTAGTTATTTTTACTCTATTTACTAAATTTTAGTATTATTTTTAATTTATATTGTTTTTTTAAGTTATTTTTTCATTTCAATTTTCAGCTTTTATTCATTACAATAATTGAGAATGGAGACGTCCAAAAAAACGAGGTTTTGAAAAAAGTGATCATTCAAAAGAATCATCAAGTGGTGAGTGCTTTTTACTTTTTAACCTTCATTTATTACGTGATATAACCAATAATTCGAAGCAATACAGAAACAGATTGACATTAAATAATTTTAAAAGATTAACATTTTTTCCATATTTTTCAAATAAATAAATTTTAATTAATTTAAAAATTTTATATTTGTAAATTTTTAAAATCTACCATTGTAACTATTTTTATTTGAGGGATAAAAATCCAAATGTTCAGAAAAACAAATTGTTCTTTCAACTATAATTTATGGAATAAGTATTTATATAATATTTATTTCAATTTCTAGGTCCACGATTTCTTTGAGGGGAAAGGTGTTTGTTGCAGAGCTGCTCTTGGAGGAGATCGGGCATTGCTGAGCGCAGTTCAATGTACGTTTATTAATTATTTCTCTTAATTTTTCTATTTTAAAATTATTGATATGATTAAGAGCAGTATATCTAAAAAGATTAATTCATTATAATTGATTGAATATTTAGACATTACTAATTGTGACAATAATAGTATAGTTAAATATTAAAAAAATTAACTTCAAATTAAAAAAAATTTCCAAAAAATAATATTTGCTATTTTAAAATTTTTTTGCAGAAATATTAATAGTTACACAACAGTTACAATTTATTATAGCTTTTCTAAAAAAAAATTTCAGACAGTTGGTCCAGTAGCAGTGGAAACATTCGTTCTTTCAAAGAGAAGAACATTAGTGAATTTTTGTCACCAGAAGCAGAAATTTTCAACAGTAAGTCTTATTTTTCAATTGTTAATTTTATTAAATTTTAAAAGTTTTCGAAATTATACATTAAATAGAATATAATAAATGTTTATATTTTTAAATAGAAATTATTCAATTTTAATGAATTAAATTTTTACCTTGTTTAATAGATTTCAGCATTTAATAAAGTATTTTATAATTGTATAATTTTAATAAATTTTTAATTTTTCAGTCCATACCAAAAAGAACAACCTGAAGGACAGGAAGGATGTGGAAGAAGAAAAACGGCCCCTGCAAAACTCTCGACCTGTGCAGAAGTGCATTTAATGCAGGGATCTTCGAGAGTGGCCACAAGAGGATAAAGGGCAATTTGATAACCATTGCTCCAACGTGGGATTAATCACCGATTGGTGAGTCGTTTTTTCATTAAAAAAAAACGACTGTTTATTTAATATGAAATAATTTATAAGTTCAGGTGACGGTTGCGTCTTGGGACGTTAACCCTAGTGTAGGTCTCATTGCACCTGGACTATTATATAATTTACAAACAATTTTGTGAATTGGTATTGAATTTTGTTTTGTTAATTGACAATTATTTTCAGTTGAGTCATCGCGGTGAGCAAAAAAAAATCTTTTTTTAATTATTAATCATTTATTTTTTCAGCAATTAGTGATAATTTTACTGCGTTTTTTTTCCCTTATTGATGTTTAGTGAAAAATCTTGACTCTTGGGAATATAATCAATGCATTATATTCTTAGTTAGAAATAAAAGTTAAAATAAGAAACAATATTTAAAAAAAAAATACTATTCATTGGGTAAATAGGCATTTTTTTACTTTAATCAATTATTAAAGTTCATTTATTTCTTCGCAATTGGTTAGTTCTGTTTTTTTTAGAAAATAGCTTAAATCTTATTTAGTCGATTTAACTAATCTTTTTTTGTGTAAAAATATTGTCGACGATGACATGATTAATGTAGCACGTGACCTGACAATTTGAAAAAAAAAAGACAGGAAAACGAGGGAAATAGAGGATAAAAATTGTTTATCCTCCCCTTCTTTGTAAGAAGAGACGACGCGTCAAAATAAATACATATGGCAAACTAAGTCCTTGTATCTTCAAGGAGAATTTTTGAGAGGACCTTTGAGACCTTTGAATCTTATAGAATACTTAAGGGACGAAATTTACAAACAAGATTGACAAACAAACTGGGTCAAACGACTTCCGTTATGGCACACGCGTCGGCGACTCAAGTCATTTATCTTATCCAATTTCAAACTGCATCTGCAGTTTTCTATATGAACTTTTTAAAGTCACGTGCCCGTGGATAATTAATTCTCTTATTATTTTTTAAATACATTACTATTTCTTTTGCTATCCATTTTTTTTATTATCACTAAAAGTTATTAATTAAATTTAAATAATTAAAAAAAATTTTTTTTAAAAATAATTCCAATTTTTGGTTTGATTATTAATTTGTAATAAATTAGTGGGTGTTAATATAAATTTTGCAAAGGGAAAAAATGGAAAATTGAAACTCGGATATTCTTATTGCTGTTGACAAGGACTTAATTTGCATGTTATGTGTAATTGAAAAGAAAAGTTAACGGCTGATTACAGGGGACAATGACTTATTCAGTGAGGGCGCACAAAAGTGCGTCAAAAAAAAAAAAAAACAAAAGGTCTCTTGCGTACAAATACAACATCGGGTTTAATTAAAACGAGAGAATTAGGGAATTAAAGAACGTGCCCTCTAAAATTGTCATTGCAAATTATTCCCAATGAATATACCTTCTGTCAACACATCATGTCTCGCGTTAAATCCTGTCAGAGGAAATTAGAAGACAAAATTAGGTTTTATTTTCTTCAATTTTTTCGTTTTGCTTCTGATAATATTTTCATTGCTTCTCATCAATTTAACAAAATTATAATAAAAAGCATCTTTTTTTTGATTAAGAATTTTTCATGGAAATTTTTTTTTCGGATTTCTTATTATTTTTTGTAATCTTATTGCTTTCTCTTTAAAATAGTTTTATACATTTTAGATGGATGCAGTTTGTATATATTCTCATTTTTAAAATTAGAGGACGATATCTCCAGACATTGATTATATAAACATGACGTTGCTCTCTTTCTCTCTCTCATCTCGTCAAAGAAGAACCGGGTGCGCTTTACGAGCTTGGATATAGACCCCTTTATACAGCATATATGAGACGTTAATATTCTGCAACGAGAAGTTAATGGTTGATTCGATGGAGGTGGATGTAACTTTAGTCGATAACGAGGTTACAACGAGTTGAGGCAGTATTGCATTAAAAAATAGTGTGGGGTTAGAAAAAGAATCGACACCCTTTTGGTTCTGTATATATATATAGAAAATCGACGAGTATAAACGTGACGGGGACAAATTATATCGGACAACTCTTCTTCCGTGGCTTCCCTCTTTGCTCTCGTCTTTCTTGTTCAATGTTTCACAAAAAGCCCTTCTTCCTTGTGATGGATAGTCGTACCAGGTGATGCACCCTCTTGTTTCACACCACCCCCGTTAACATGATCTCAACTCAACTTTATTTCGATTTAAATAGTTCATATTAACTTACTATAATTAATGACTGACAAGTCATATTTTGGAAATAAATTCCTCAAGGCTTTTTTTTTTTATTATCAATTTCTCGAATTTTCTTCAAAGTGGTGAAATTTTTCCATTTATAATAATGTTCTCATATTATAATTTTAAATAGGGCATATTTCAGAATCTTTTTCAAGAAAAGGAGAAAATATTTTTTCTAATATTTTTTGCCTTACAGTATTATTGTTATATTGTATATAAATCAAAATATAATTTGTTACGTTTGACACATTTTTCCTACATTGTCCAATTTTGTCATCAAATGGTTCTTTAGTGTCATTTTAAATGGTCAAATTGGAAAAATATAATTTTTCATGTCTATTTATCGAAGCATTTTTCATTAAAACGCCTACCATGACCTTTTTCGCGAACGATGACTCGTGCCTCTGATTTAATCGTTTTCCATTTGTCCCGCTGTCTCTCTGCGTAGGTTAATAAAAAGAGTATAGCGTCACTTTTTTGGGGGAGTTATATAGAAAAGGGATGCTGGGGAGGGTCAAAAGCTGCTTGAAAATTACATATATTATAAACAAATTCGACTATAAATAGGAAATAGAAATTTAAAAAATTGAAATTATTTTTTCACTTATAAATTTTGTGTGTTTGAAAAAAATGTATTTTAGGATTTCTTCAAAATAATTTTTCTATTTACATCAATTTCATTTTATTCAAAAAAAATTTAATTTTAAGATATAAAGGCGGTTTTATCTCTTGACATAATTTGAAACTAAAAATTGTATTTTTATTACCAATAAAATGTTTGTTACCAAATAATTTTTATTTCAAACGTTTTATCAAATATAAAATTGTAATTAAAATTTAATACATTTTGGCAGATCCAGTTGTACAATTAAAAAAAAAATTATTGTTTTTCAAAATTTGTTGAATAAAAATTATTTAACTTGTGTTGTTCATTATTAAACTTATAGTGAAAAATTAGAATTTTCATCCAAATTTTTACAAATAATAGCTCATTTTTCTCTTTAAAAGATTTTAAACTTAACAATTTTGTTTTTTTCTTAAATAATATTTGGTTTAAAAGGTAGAAAAAATAAAAAAATTTTCAATAACTTTTAAACAAAATATTTTTAATATTTAATATTAATTTTAATATTTAATTTTTAATATTTAATATTCAAGAAAATAAAATTGTAGTGAATCTTTTAGATTCAATAAAGGAATTTGTAAAAATTTGGTTTATAATTGTTTATTAACGTTTAAACAAAAAACTACAATTGAAATAATTATTATTTAATAAATTTTGGCTCAAAATAAAATTTGTTGAAAATTGTACAATTTTGACAAAAATTTGTTGAAATTAATTTTAATTATAATTTTATTTGTTGTTGATAAAATTTTTTAGTTTGAGGTTATTATGTCAATGGATTGAAATTTAATTTTTTTTTAAATATTACTCTTATTTCTAGAATATCATTTTCCAACTAAGAATAAAAATGCATAGGTTATATTTTTAAGTATATTGAGGAGCCAAAAATTTCGGAAATTTAAAATATTGTTTATCGGATGAGTTATGCAATTATCGCAGCTCGTCAAAATCGATTTTTGAAAAATTAACTTAAATCTCTAAATTAAAATTTTTGAAAATAATAATTTAACTCTTTGGAGTTACAAATTTCACATTTTGAAAGTAAAATATAGTATAGGGAAAAATATTATAATTGCTTTTCTAAAACTAGTAATAATAATTATAACAGTATACTGAAAAAAATGTATTTGATTCAAATATTCGATTACTTAACTATTATCAAATAAATATTTATTTGTATCAAATAATTATTATTTGAGTCAATTAAATGGTATTTGTTTCAAATACAGAAATTATTGGTTCAAATACAATTTATTTAATTCAAATAAAAATTATTTGGTTCAAGTAAATATTTATTTGATAATAGTCAAGTAATCGATTATTTGAATCAAATACTTTTTTTCAGTGTACTTTTTATCTCGTGTTAGGAATTTGAGTATATAGAATTAAAGAAAACACACAAAAAAATTGTATTTTCACTATTTTTTTGATCCAAGAAAATTTGATGTAAATTTTCTTGAATTAAGAAAATTATTGGATTAAATACGTATACATGGTTTTTTTGAATCAATGCTAATTTTTTTTTTTTCACTACAAAAACAGTTCGAGATTCCGTGTTTGTAAAAGCGTATATATATTGAGGAATCCCTCGGAAGTCGAATTCTCAGGATGTGATGCCAATCTCGTAGAAAAGGATTGATGTTTCTTGTAATGAAAAGAAATTTTTTAAAGGCTGTCGCGTTCATTCACGCTTCCGTATATGCGTCTGCATTGGCAGAAGCCGCCTGGAAAGCCAAACAAACACATGCGAGCATACGTGCTTTTATTATCGACGAAACTCTCGGGAGGTTTTTATTGCGATGAGATGCTTGTTTTGCTTCTAGAGTCTTGTCCGTCGACTAAAATGCACGTGACGACGTTGTTTCAACCGTGCTTTGACGAATGCCGACATGTTTCATTACAGTCGGAAATGTCATCAACAATCCATGAAATATGAGCACAATATTATATCTATAAAAGCTTACGAAAACTAAATTTTATTCCCCTTTTTTATGATAACGTTTTTCTTTTTCATCAAAAAAAAAATCATCTGCTATACATAGCTATTTATAAAATCCAAGTACAGTCTTCTTTTCATTCTTCCAGTCAAATTCTGCCTGTAGGGAAAAATTGTATTTTTCTAATTTTTATATTAATTTATAAAAATTCCCATTAGAATTGAACGGATAATGAA